CCTCGTTTGTGGGCTCTCATATTCCTCTGTGTGTGTGTGTGTCTGTCTGTCTGTCTGTCTGTCTGTCTGTCTCCAGGTGGTTTTCCAAAATATCCTTGATTTATTTCCTAGTAATTTACTTTTTAGTATTAAATCTGTTGAAAATGTCTTAATATGAGAAGGGGAAGATTTAGACAGACCTTCAGGGAATATATCCTACCTTATTCATACTTTGTGGTGTGACTGCAAAGTCGCGATGCTGATTTCATTATATGTGAATGTGGAATTTGTTCTATGACTTTTAAACACATTGTGGCTATGTGAGAGAAAATTTTTTTTAAAACACCTAACATTTGGAATACTTGCTGTTCTTACCTGTACACATGCACGTCCACGTTCTACTGCAGATGGTAAGATATCTGAGGAAGTGGTCTATCAAGGGCCTTGACCTCAGAGCTACCCTTTTTTAACTTTTTGAACTTAGCACTTTGCCTTATAAGGTCAGAGTGTCGTTTTTTTTTTTTTTTTTTTTGCGGTACGCGGGCCTCTCACTGCTGTGGCCTCTCCCATTGCGGAGCACAGGCTCCAGGCGCACAGGCTCAGCGGCCGTGGCTCACGGGCCCAGCCGCTCCACGACATGTGGGATCTTCCCGGACCGGGGCACGAACCCGCGTCCCCTGCATCGGCAGGCGGACTCAACCACTGTGCCACCAGGGAAGCCCCAGAGTGTTCTTCTTAATGGTACTGTCTACTTTCCTGGGTGCATGGACTTGTATAAAGCTGTACTTTTACTAGCATTCTACAGAGCTATTCTCCAGTTTCCAGTGAAAACCTTCAAGCTACTGTTTTAAAAGCTAATGTGTGTAGTCTTTCAAAATGATTTTATCTTGTTTGAGCTTGAGTTTGGTCCTTGACATCTGTAGATGCCACATGTGAACTTTAGACCATGGTTGACAACATCCTCACAGAGAATTCAGATGCAGCTCCTTGACACAAGCACCATCTTCTGTGATTCACTTGAAGGAAGTTTCTTTTAACAGAGGTGCATGTTGTAAACTCTGAGATATTAGTTATGTCTGTATTGGTCCCAAGAGGTGGTGAATGTTGTCCTGACAGAGTAAAGGTCGAGATGTCTGCTTCCATTTGGGTGAACATTCCAAGGCAGGCTCAGGATACACAGCTGCTGGGTGGGAGAGGCCACCTTAATAGTTATGTATTATTAAAATCCCAATTCTATGTAAGTCAAGTACTCTGATTCTTTATTTTAGGAGACATACTTCTCTTTTGTAAAGGAGCCGACTCAGCAGTTTTCCCCAGGGTGCAAAATCATGAAATTGAGTTAACTAAAGTCCACGTGGAACGTAACGCAATGGTGAGCCTACACCCCCTCCCCCCAGTAGATAGAGAAATGCTAGAGATGACTACGTCTATGGATTGCTATTTAAAGGACTATTGAAATGAATTTTAGCTTATTTTTATGGCCTATTTTTATATTTGGGGATTTTGTAATATTATTTTCCTTATTTTAATATAAAACATCCTGGAGCAAGTTTCTGCTCAGAATTTACACCCTTTGAAGACTTTTCAAGAGTCTTTGTTTCATGTTCTGCTTTTTGTTGTTTTTTTTTTTAACCCCAAGAGCTATTATTTTGTTATTCCGAACCTAATTGAATGTTAAGCCAGTGCAATCTGTTCTTTCTCTTTTTTTCCCCCTTTTTTAACTAAAAAGGAAATTAGTCAGAATTTCTCTTTTGTGTGGTAAAGCAAGAGTATTTAAAGAGTGTGTTTTGTTTGTTTGTTTTTATTCATTATTTGGATAACTAGAGATCTCCTACCTTGCTTCTAGGATGGGTATCGGACACTTTGTGTAGCCTTCAAAGAAATTGCTCCAGATGATTATGAAAGAATTAACAGACAGCTCATAGAGGCAAAAATGGCCTTACAAGACAGAGAAGAAAAAATGGAAAAGGTTTTTGATGAGATTGAGACAAACATGAATTTAATTGGAGCCACTGCAGTGGAAGACAAGTAACTAGAAAATGATATTCTTGTTATTTTAATGACCAGTCATTTAGGGTGGTATCTGTCCAGATTGGTAATTCATTCTCAAGTTTTGAAATCCTTGATTCAGCTTTGTCTGTACATCAGATTTTGAACTGTTTGTGGGAATAATTTTTAAGTTAAATATTTGTGACTTAGAAGAATGAATCTGTCATCTCTAAGGTGTTTTGAGTACTTACTAAGCCATCCCTTCATTTATGCAGGTATTTATGAAGTAGTCTTACTGTGCGTAGGAAGCTTTGTGCTAGAGACACCATTTGAGTTGGTGCTTGGTAGAATGGGTACAATTTTGAAAGACAGATGAGCAGAAGGAAAATTCAAGGTTGAGCAAACAACATGAGAGCTCATTCTAACCTGGTTTAACAGACTAGAGCATATTTTTGCATACTTTAAAATAATTTGCTCTAACCATACAGGCTGATCTCTGCCGGGCATGATTATAGGGCTCCAGAATTGATCTGCTTGAAAAAATAAGTTCTGGATTCTATTTTAGGAGTTTTCTAGAAGCTATGAATGCAAATTGTGAGGCTTAACCCAAACATGAAGTTATAAACATATATTCATTGGAAGGTATTAAAGTTCTAATAGAATTCATTTAGTCTAATTTCATTGTTATTCTCTGACCAAAAAGAATGCAAAGTATCACTCTTCTTCTACCCTTGCCTTTCAGAATAATGCTTAAAATCTCCTTCAGAATGGTTGGCTTTCCTAAACTTCTAGCTCCTCAGGGATGGGGATTTGCTAACTTTCTTCAATATCTCATTAGACTGTGTCTGGCCCTTTCTGTTTTGAACCATATTAAGTATTTGTATAGTGAGATAGAAAACATAAACTTTCCAAACCTCATTGTTTGAAATGTACTTTAATAAGTAAAACTATGTCAGAAAGAGTATGCTCAGAAATGGTAAGGGAGATTTAAGAAAAACAACTGTTAAAACATGTCAGGACTCCAGAATTGCTATGAATTATAAGGACATTCTCTTTAACAAGCCTTCTTGTAGAACCTGTGTCAGGAATTTTCAAAGATAACAAGGTTTCCTTTGTGTTTCCAGGCTACAAGATCAAGCCGCTGAGACCATTGAAGCCCTGCACGCAGCAGGTCTGAAAGTCTGGGTGCTTACTGGGGACAAGATGGAGACAGCCAAATCTACCTGCTATGCCTGCCGCCTTTTCCAAACCAGCACCGAGCTCTTGGAACTGACCACCAAAACCATCCAAGAAAGCGAACGGAAAGAAGATCGATTACATGAGTTGTTGATTGAATATCGTAAAAAGTTGCTGCATGAATTTCCTAAAAGTACTAGAAGCCTTAAAAAGTAAGAAAGTACATCAATTTGTTATATTTAGACATTGGTACAGATGTAAATCACAGCTGCTTATGCAGAAGGCTCCGTTTTCTGTAATTTATCAGTCTTTGTTTGCAGGTGCTTTATCCTTGTAAGTTAGAACCTTTCCTGAGGACTTGGCTAATGGCCCATTTGAGATTATTTGGCACTTTCCACCTCTTCTTTCACTTAAAAGAAAACCCTGCCCTTCTCAAGCTTTAGAAAAGTGGTTCATTTTCTAAATACTTAGGGTCTGGGTACTTATTGATACTCTGTCCTGGTCCATGTTAAGAAAAAATATTCCTTTTCATGGTCTCTTAAATTGAATGTAATAAAATCAGTCTCTAAAACAGTTTCCATGCAGGTCGAAGTCCTGGAGGCATTTTCTGTGTGAATTTTCATGCCCCAGTGCTCCAAAGGAGACCAAATACTTGACAGCATGGCCACTCGACTGCTTTCAACAAGCTGCTTAGGAAGAACCTGTAGAATCTAAGGTTCTCAAGGAAAGCCACTGATCCGCAATAATTCAATACCCAGAGTTACATTTTCCTATACTTGACATTGACCAAGGCCTAACTTTGTCTAAACCCATTACTGGAATTTACCTTGGCCGTAAGCAAATCAATTTCCTCTTCTGGAATGCCACAGGATGTGTCTGCAGTAAATCCAAAGACCCGTAGGTAATATTATTTCACATTTCTTAAGTGCCCTCTTTGTTCCAGGAACAACATTAAGCACTTTAAATTATTCTCATTTAATCTTCACAGCAACCCAGTAACACAATCTTATTTTCTTCATGTTAGAAATAGGGAAACTAAAGCTCAGAGAGATGAAGTGACTTATTCGAGATAACACAGTTAATAAGGTGTAGAGCAAGTCTACCCAATTCCAGAGCCCATGCTTTTAACAACTATGCTCTATCCGTGTCGTCATCACTAGTGTTTAAACAGACTTTAAAAATGAATAGCCCACATTCATGAGGCTATGGCCCATTTTAAAATAGCTGTTGTTCTTCTGTTACTTGGACGTCAGTGAGAGTAAACAGGTTTTTATTAATTGCCTGTGATAAATGTTTCCTTCCTTTAACCAAATGGTACTTATAAAGGCAGTCCAGATTACATGCGTTTTACTTGCATTTATCTTAGCCTGCTCAGGCTACCATAACGAAATACAAGAGACCAGGTGGCTTAAACAATAGAAACTTATTTCTCACATTTCTGGAGACCAGAAGTATGGGATCAGGGTGCCAACGTGGCCGAGTTCTGGTGAGGTCCCCCTTCCTAGCTTGCAGAATGCTGCCCTCTTGCTGTGTCCTTACTTCGCAGAGAGAGAGAGGAAGCTCTGGTGTCTCTTCCTCTTTTTATAAGGATATTAATCCCATCATCCCATCATAAGGGCCCCACTCTCATGACTTCATCTAAACTTATCTCCCAAAGGCCCCATTTCCAAATATCATCACATTGAGGGTTAAGGCTTCAACATGGGACTTCAGGGGGGACTCAATTCAGTCCATAGCACCATTCAGGAGCCCTTGGGCACTTTTGTAAAAGCCAGGGCTTATGGAAAACTGAACTCACCATCTCAACATTCCCTCTTCCTGACTCATCTGGAGTTGGGTACACTCTTTATCAGACACAGAATCCCTTTTGCCAGCTTCTGCTCCTTTGTCCCTTCCACTTCAAATCAGCCACCAAGCCTTAGCCATGTCCCCACTCTCTCCACTGGCGCTCCCCATCAGATTCCTAGCTACTCGTGCCTCAGAGCACGTAAGCCCCTCTGCCAGATGAGTGGTCCTTAGGTATATAGTACTGCCCATGTCACAGCCCTCCTCAGAAACCTTTAGTGGATATCTGTTACCCACAGAATCAGGTCGTACCAAAGGCCCCAGGTGACCTTTTCAGTTTGTTTTCCTAGTGCACCACACATATATTCCCTCTTTTCTTCACCTCTTTCTGTCCTGTCTTTTAAGTTCCATTTCAGATATCATACCTCACAAAGAAACCATTGTTCTTTCCTGGTGTGTATTTATTGTCCCAATCACTGGATATTAACCTTTCTAAAAACATTTTTCAACTATATATAGTTGATTAACAACGTTGTGTTAGTTTCAGGTGTACAACAAAGTGATTCAGTTATACATATACATGTATCCATTCTTTTCAGATATTAACCATTTAATATCATGTTTGGTTGGGTATATTCTCTCATGTGTGCTTCTGTTACCCCAAGGAGATTTTCTATTCTCCAAAGAAAGATTAGTTAATAATTCTTTCCATTCTTCTATATGGCCTAGTTAGAGACCAAATATTGCTTGATTGATTATTGAGCTACTGTTTTCTGCTCATTGTCAGCTCTGTGAATAGGGGAGCAAAGGAGAATGCATGATTGATATCTCTAATTAGTGAATAAAACATGCTCATAATATCATGAAGCAGAATGTGAAAGGAAGGAAGGAAGAGGCATATTAGGCTCTCACTATTCATAGTCCATAGAACAGCAGCTCCATTATCACCAGAAGCTTGTTAGAAATGCAAAATCTCATGTCCCACCCAAAAACTACTGAATCAGAATGTGTACTTTAACAAGATTCCCAGGAATTTTAACAAGATTCCTTTAAACATTAAGCTTTGAGGAGCATAAAATTAGACAAATGAATCTATTGTAAAATTAGACAAATGAATCTATTGTATAACGATGAGATCCTGCTATGTTTAATACGTCTACTGCAGCGGTTCTCAAATGGCACCCAAGATTTCCTGAGCAGAAATTGATTAATCGGTGTTTTTTTTTTGTTAATTGCAAAAAATAAATAAAATGTTAATTGGTAGAATTTTATCAATTGTAAGTTTTCCCCCATGCTTTTCTTAAATACTTGGCACCTGTTATATATATATATATATGTTTTTTAATAAATGTATTTATATTTTATTTTTGGCTGCGTTGGGTCTTTGTTGCTGCTCGCAGGCTTTCTCTAGTTGTGGTGAACGAGGCTACTCTTGGTTGCGGTGTGCAGGCTTCTCATTGCGGTGGCTTCTCTTGTTGCGGACCAGGGCTCTAGGCGCGTGGGCTCAGTAGTTGTGGCACACAGGCTTAGTTGCTCCACGGCATGTGGGATCTTCCCGGACCAGGGCTTGAACCTGTGTCCCCTGCATTGGCAGGCAGATTCCTAACCACTGAGCCACCAGGGAAGTCCAGCACCTGTTATATTTGTCTTTCCTGGCAACTAATACTACTTCGTCCTGGCTATACAGGAGAATCATCTATGGAGCCTTTTAAAACATGCCTATATGTAACCAAGCCCTGCCTGAGATACCCTGATTTAATTTGTCTGTGGATAAACCTAAGATATGGGCTTCTTTTCAAGCTGCCAAGATGACTCTCATGGGAAGGCTATGGTTGAAAACCACTAGTCTAGTATAAAATGATACTTATTTAAGAAACATATATCATTATTGTATGCTATTCTTTAATGAACACTATGTCTTTTTAGTAGTCCATCATATTTGAGAAGCCAGGTCTATTGATAGGTTTTGTCATTCAGGCAAAGATATTAAGAATATCTTCTGTGATTTGTATACCCCAAAGCCATTTTGTCTTTTCCCTGCATTGTTAAGCAGTTTTCAGATTGACTGATGATTTGTCCTCATATCAGAGTTTGATGGAACTGTAATTTCCAAAATTCACCTTGAGTTTCTTATATGGAGACTGGCTGCTAGAAGTCCATTATTTTTATATTTAGAACTTAGTGCCATCTATATGGGCAGCTTGAGTCTCAAAGATTTGATAGAAAGTCTCTGTTGTGTCATTAATAGAGTCGGTTGCTTCTTTAGAATTTACACGTCCAGGAACCAGATTGATGATAACCCTCCTCTGAGTGGTTTTTTAAAGTTCCTAAATAGCAATGTATAGTAGATTCAAATATAGCATTGTTTTTCTTTTCCAGAGCATGGACAGAACATCAGGAATATGGATTAATCATTGATGGCTCCACGTTGTCTCTCATATTAAATTCTAGTCAAGACTCTGGTTCTAACAATTACAAAAGCATTTTCCTACAAATTTGTATGAAGTGCACTGCAGTGCTCTGCTGTCGGATGGCACCGTTACAGAAAGCCCAGGTAACTGAATGTTAGTTAATGTTCCATTCTGGGTACTTCTGTATGCATATGTGCAAATGTTCACGTTTAATTTTCTTCAAAGAGCCCTGAGTACCTTATTATATTTTCCCTGGATTCTTCCTCTATGTGGTCCAACTCAGAAATCTTCCCACCAATTTGAATTAAACCTGTGCTTCACCTTTTTGTCTCCTCAAGCTGGCTGTCTAATTCCTCACCTTGCAAACTTCTCTAATGAGTGCTTGGTGCCCGCTGCCTTCATCCCACTGCTCCTGGCTCCACTATTCCATTAGCCCCATGCATTCTTTCTTCTCACCTTACTCTGCTGCATCTCCTGGAGGAGAGCAGTGACCTCCTTGCCGAACCCGTTGTGTTGTCTTTCGTTTTCTCCTCATTTCTCCACTGCAGTTGACACCGCCAGTTATGTCCTCCTTTAAACTCTCCTCGCTTGGTCTCTGTGATGGTCCACGGTCCTTTTTTTTCCCCCTTCTTGGCAACCTAGTGTCTTTTTATTTTGTTTCATCCTGTGTCTTCTCCCTAATTGTCAGTTTTTTTGGGGGGGCTACGTCTTCCCTCGGCTCTTCACTTACATCCTATCTCTCTGGATAAGCACATCCATTTCTATGACTTCCATTGATGATATGTCTCTCGTCCTGACTTTTCCTTTTTGTTAAGTCTCATATTTCTGGCTGCCTGCTAGACGGCTCTATATGGACTCCCCACTGTAACATTAAATTCTAGTATCCAAGACAGATATTATAATTTTCTCCTTCAGGCCAGTTTGTTTTATCCCTTGTCTTTATTATTCCTGTTACCAGTGACATTTTTCTTCGGCTCCCTAAGTCTCCAAACTGCCTTTGATCCTTTTCTTCTCACTCACTCCATATATAGTCACCATGTCCTACTGACCCTACCTTTTGTCATAGCTCTCATTGTGGTGCCACCTTGTTAAACCTTTTATCTCCATCTTAGTGCAAGCAAGACCTTAGGACTTTACACACAGACTATTTGATTTAATCTTCTCATTGGTCTCCTTGCTTTCACCCTTCCCCATTCCATCTCTTTCCCCAAATTAATCTTGTTAAAACAGTACTTCTCCCATCCTATATTCTCTCTCAGAACCTTTCAGTAGTTTCCTAGTCCCTTAGGATGAAGGGCAGATGACTCAATATGGTACTCGGGGCCACCCCTGTCGACCCTTTCAGTGTGCCCGTACATATTTTGTGTCCACCATCACTCTCACGTCCAGCGAGAATCATCCACTCCTGTTGGTTGTTCCCCCTTTGTGTCCCTTCCATGTGCCATGCTCACACCAACTTCTAAAGCTTCCCTCATATAATTTCCCCATCTGGAATTCCCTCTGAATTCCTCTTGACCTAACAAAAATTTTACTCCTAATAAAACCCAATGCAGGGGCAACCTCGGGTGTGCTGTCTTTTCCAGCTCCTCTGGCTCGCATTGATCTGCTTCACCTTGCTTCCTTGTACTCACTGAGTCTCGGGAACCTTAGAATCTCAGGTACACACCTTTTCACTTCTGCGTACACTGTATTCTTTTATATGTGTTGGTCTTGCTTCTTCCCGTCCCTCAGCTGCTTGCTCTAGACCTAGCGGATGGCGCTGTGTCTTTGCCTTCTCCTTCACACACCCTGCCCCCTACCTCGCACATGCATGCACGCACGCATGTGTGAGCACACAGCCCATCCTAATTTAGGGCATTGTCTACCTTCTTCTCACTTTCAATTTCCATCACAATCAGGTGCTTTTCTTTTCTTCAACCTTAAGAGCCTTGGTTAGCCCCAGCTGGGGAAGCAGATCCTATCAGAACAGTATCCATAGAAATCTGTCCCTTTAGTCAAAGGCAATACCTCTTTCCCTTTTTTTT